TGTCTACGCCACCCGTTTCTTTTCCATTATCCATTATTACTATTATTTTTGTTATCTAATATAAAATTGTATCCCCGACGTTTCGGCGATAATAAAGCGGCGGTTTCCGTCACAGAACACTAGTCCTACCTGACAAAGTTCGGTACAGAACACGAGTCCGTCACTTTATTATCGCCGAAAGGTCGGGTATAAAAGGCTGAGTGACCGATGGTCAATTATCCAGTCGTTTACTTGCCTTGTAGTAAGACCCACCCGCGGCAGACTTGCGCTTGGCAGTAAACTGACTTCTCCCTTGTTTCCCGGGAGCTCGTCGTGCGGTTGGTGCGTCGGCCAGTGGTATAATAGTTGGAGTGATTCTGGCATTATATCGGTCGTCGCACACGTCGCATCCTATGGGGTAATAGTCAGAGTCATTCCGGCATTACACCGGTTGTCCGACCGTCCGACGCAGCTCTCCCCGTCCCGTCAGTACGACCGACGTCGCGTTTATTTGTCGTTATTATTTACGTTTTTTTTTGTGTTTTCTCTTATGTCTTAAATCAACTTTTATGCATTGTTATTTTCTCTTATGTCTTAAATCAACTTTTATGCATTGTCATTTACCGTTCATGTTAATAAAACATTTTCTGTCACTGCGACAACTAGAGCGTTATTAAAACCTACCTAGTTACTATCACCTACAACCTACAATCCTAAACATTTGGTCCTTCGAACCGGATACAACAGAACAAACCAAGACCTCACCAGAAATCTACCGTCTTCTACATACAGTCCATTCAACTTGCATCGCTTCATATCAAAATGACTATGCCAGAGTCAATCAAATACGTCGACGCCAAGGCTCGAGTAGTGCGAGCATTGGCCACCATCACGAGGTTCACAAAGGCAACGAATGAGTATCTCGCCGAACAAACCAGTACCAGCAAACGGGCAAAGGTAGAAACCATGCTGTTAGAACTGAACAGTCTGCGTGCCCGAGTCGAAAAAGACATTCAAATCATGGAAACTGCAGTGGGATCTAAAACAGCGCCTATCGACGTCACTGATAATTCTTGTAGCACTTCGCTAAGTGATTCATTCGACCAACTCTATTATGATCTTATAGCTATGGCTCACATACATAATATTCCATTGGCTAAACAAGTCGAAATCACGCAAACGTTCAGTAACCAGACCACTCAATCCGGGAATTCGTCGTTGTACCAACTGCCTAAACGCAAGTTTCCCACCTTTTCCGGAAGTCTACAAGAGTGGCAAGGTTTCGATGATTTGTTTAACTCAATACTGTCTCATTCACCAGAACTTCAAGATGTTGAGAAATTTGAGTTTCTAAAAACAGCGCTAGAAGGAGAAGCTCTTTCCCTTATAGCGCATCTTGCGTTGACCTCAGCTAATTATCAAAGTGCATGGACGATCTTGCGAAGCAGGTACGGGAACAAACGTGATTTAGCACGTATCCATTTAGACGCACTATTGGTGCCTCAAAAGGTTACTTTTACCAATGCCGTCTCAATCAAACACATAATCAACATCATTCAAGAACATACTGCCGCATTAGACAACTTGAATTTTGTCACTCGCCAGTGGGGGCCAATTTTGGTTCACATATTCTAACAACACCTGGATTATGAGTTGCGGTCTCGCTGGGAGTTACGGGTTGGCGAAAATCATGCTCCCACGGTAAACGAATTTGTGGACTTCCTAAAAAATCATATCCGATCGGCAGAAGTCCATCCGTCTGGTTCTACATCAACAAGTAATGCCATGAAAACATCCTTCAAAAACCCCAGTTCAAGAACTAACCATCGTCAATCGACCAGAGTTCTAACTACAACTGTTGCACAGACGCCCAGCACCAAATGTGCATTATGCAAAGCGGTCCATTCAATACGTCAATGCCCAACGTTTCTTAAGGACTCTCCTACTGAACGGTTTCAAGTAACAAAGTCGTTAAATCTCTGCATAAATTGTTTAGGCGCTGGTCACTCGTCAACATCATGTCCCTCAAAAAACACGTGTAAATCCTGTCGGAAACATCATCACTCACTACTTCATTTCCACGAAAAGATGCCATCAAGTGACGATACTGTTTCGCCAACCTCAATGGTAGCGACACATCCTCGACCACGATCTGTTCTACTATCAACCTTACTGGTCCATATCTCGTCGATAAACAAGGAAACCTATACTTTCCGAGCACTATTGGACACCGGATCCCAGGTCAGCTTTATAACAAAAAATTGTGCTGATCGCCTGTCACTAACTCAACGCCGCTGTTCGTCTAAGGTAAACACTTTCTCCGGGACGTCAGTAAACGCAGTGTCTGGCATAACATCAATCGAGCTGGTACCAGTGGGTAAAACTGAGCCCCGCATCTCGCTCGATGTCTTTGTGGTTAACAAAATTACCGATGCAACACCGCAGTCAAGTCTTTCGTTCACTTCATGGTCTCACATCAGCAACTTGGAATTAGCAGATCCGACGTTTCATCTATCTGGTCCAGTTGACATCTTATTAGGAGCTGATGTCGCACCAACCATACTGACTGGCACCCGCGTCGCAGGGCATCCATCAGAACCAACAGCCTTTGGTACCATATTTGGATGGATTTTGATGGGACCAATATCACAAACATCCAACAAACCAGCTACCTCATTGTTAGTGACCACAACCGAAACACTAGAACAGTCGCTAACACGGTTTTGGGAGATGGAGGAGGCACCAAAGGTACAACACCTTAGTCCTGACGAAGTTCAGGCGGAAACCATCTTTACATCTTCAATAAAACGCCTAGCCTCTGGACGATTCAGTGTTGCCATACCATTCAAACATCCGCGTCCATTACTTGGAGATTCCAAAAGTGGAGCGCTTAGAAGATTTCATGCTCTCGAACGGCGTCTGTCTCAAGATCCAAATCTGGGCAGTCAATACGCAGATTTTATGCGAGATTACTTAGAAAGTAAACACATGGAAGTGGTTCCTGCAAGCAATAAAATTACTCCGTATTGCTATTATATACCGCATCATTGTATCCTTCGTCCGGAAAGTCAAACTACAAAACTTCGTGTAGTTTTCGACGCCTCAGCTCGAACTACCACTGGGCAGTCATTGAATTCCAGCGTGTACACAGGGCAGAAGTTACAGCAGGAGATGATCCAAATTTTGATTCGAGCTCGAGTAAATAAATTTGTATTCACTGCAGATGTTAAGCAGATGTATCGACAAATCCAAATCCATCCAAACGACCGAGACTATTTGCGCATTCTTTGGCGCTTTAAATCAGACTCACCAATCCAAGAATATCGCCTGTGTACAGTCACATATGGAACCTCGTGTGCTCCTCACCAAGCCTTGCGTACAATGCAGTACCTGGCGACAATGGAAGAGTCAAACTTTCCAATTGCTGCTAACGTGCTGAAGAACGACATGTTTGTTGACGACATTCTTACCGGCGCCCAGTCAGAAGAAGACACACTTTTCTGTCAACAACAGGTGATTGCTCTGTGTGCTCAAGGGAAATTCCAACTGAGAAAATGGGCTAGTAATCTACCCAGCGTCTTGCAAGCTGTGCCTGCCACTGATTGTTCCATGGATCCCGCGGTATTGTTTGACGACGATGGACAAGCAATACTCAAGATCCTCGGCATGCATTGGAACCCTAAGCAGGACTATTTTTCATACAATTATCATAGTCCGAGCCTTACGACCACAAAACGTTCGGTTCTATCAGATATGGCACGTATCTTCGACCCATTAGGTTTCTTGGCACCTGTTATTTTCCTGGCCAAATATGTAATGCAACTATTATGGACGTCCGGAATTGGTTGGGACGATCCCGTTCCCGAGCAAATACTAATGATGTGGAAACGGTATCAACAAGAGCTTAAGTGCATACAGACATTGACTATCCCTCGTCGGATCACGTCGGATGGGCATCCATCGTATGAGTTACATACTTTTTCCGATAGCTCCGAAAAGGGATATGCCGCTGCAGTTTATCTACGGTGTAACAATGGTTCCATGGTCCAATGCTACCTCATCACGGCAAAATCGAAGGTAGCCCCCCTTAAACGCGTCACCATTCCACGTTTGGAACTCTGCGGCGCCCTACTCGCCGCAAGACTGTTGCGCTCAGTACATGACATTCTCGTCTCCATCATCCACATCACCGCAATGCACGCGTGGACCGATTCAACCACAGCTCTAGCATGGATAAAATCGTCACCTCATCAATGGACAACGTTCGTTGCCAATAGAACAAGCCAACTACAGGAACTCACACCACCATCCATTTGGCGTTATGTTCCCACGAGTGACAACCCTGCCGACTGTGCCTCAAGAGGACTCTATCCGTCTGAAGTTCTTCATCACCCACTCTGGTGGACTGGTCCCAGATTTCTTTCTCAGAACCCCAATACATGGCCACCAACAGCTACCCACAATGACAGTGATGCAACAAATTCAGAAGAACGTAAAACTACTCTAGTAATAACTATCAACCAGAATATCTTCGAAGAACTGTTAAACAAGTTCTCATCACTCTCTACAATCATACATATTGTCGCGTACTGTTCAAGAGTCTTCAACAAATCCAACCCAAGCACCATGCAGCTGTCTCCTTGTGAACAAGTAAAAGCCCTGAACCGGATTATTCAAGCAGTGCAAAGGCAATCATTTCCGGATGACTTCGCACAACTAAGTAGTCACTCCGGTACTGGCACTAGTAACCTACGAAAGCTCAGTCCATTCCTAGATGACCAAGGAATCATACGTGTGGGTGGACGACTAAGGCATGCAACCATTCCATATGAACAGAAGCATCCAATCCTTCTGCCACGCTCCCACCGACTAACGAACCTGCTTATTGACGATTTTCATCAACGGCATAAACATCCCGGTGCCACAACGCTGCAAACAATTATTTCACAGCAATATTGGATAATATCTAGTCGCCAAATTATTAGATCAAGATTAAGGCGCTGTATTGCGTGTTACAAAACACGCCCACGCAATTCACAACCCTTCATGGGTGACATGCCTAAGTATCGGTTGCAACAGATAAAACCATTTATGACAACAGGCGTGGATTACGCCGGTCCAATAGTATTAAGATCTTCAACCACGCGGCGAACCGTGCCCAGTCAAGCCTACATCTGCCTCTTTGTATGTATGTCAACCAAGGCATTACATTTAGAAGTTGCCTCTGACTTATCAACGGAAACTTTTCTGATGGCTCTGTGTCGATTCATCTCCAGACGCGGACCAATTAAAGAAATGCACAGTGATTGCGGAACCAATTTCACAGGAGCGGCTAAATTACTCCAGCCTGTCGATCAATTCACCCGTTCCAAGGAGTATCAACACCAGTGTCAAGCTTACTTAACAGCTCGGAACATCCGTTGGCATTTCAACCCCCCGTCCGCTCCTCATTTCGGAGGATTATGGGAGGCTGGGGTCAAGTCCGTAAAAACGCTACTTTACCGAACTCTTGGGCTTCAACGACTGACATATGAAGAATTGAACACATTGCTGAGTCGTATCGAAGCTACATTAAACTCTCGTCCGTTGGGTGCCTTGAGTTCAGATCCATCAGACTTTGAGGCCTTCACTCCGAGTCATTTTCTCACCCTCATGACTAGTACCGCAAATGTTGAACCCAACCTGGATAATATTCCTTTATCTCATTTTCAGAGGTGGAGACTGATCAAGGACCTCCACACCCATTTCTGGAAAAGATGGCAAAATGAATACCTACAAACTCTCCAACAGCGCACCAAATGGACAAACCATAGTGACAACTTGACACCCAATATGTTAGTCCTAGTTCGAGAGCCCACATCTCCACTGCTCTGGAAACTCGGACGGATTCTCTCGTTGTCTCCCGGCCAGGATGGGATTGCTCGAGTTGCTACTGTTCAAACCACCACCGGAATCATTAAGAGACCAATTGTGAAGCTTTGTCCACTTCCAGTCTGTTAAATGCTGGACGCATTCAAGGCGGGCAGGATGTCTACGCCACCCGTTTCTTTTCCATTATCCATTATTACTATTATTTTTGTTATCTAATATAAAATTGTATCCCCGACGTTTCGGCGATAATAAAGCGGCGGTTTCCGTCACAGAACACTAGTCCTACCTGACAAAGTTCGGTACAGAACACGAGTCCGTCACTTTATTATCGCCGAAAGGTCGGGTATAAAAGGCTGAGTGACCGATGGTCAATTATCCAGTCGTTTACTTGCCTTGTAGTAAGACCCACCCGCGGCAGACTTGCGCTTGGCAGTAAACTGACTTCTCCCTTGTTTCCCGGGAGCTCGTCGTGCGGTTGGTGCGTCGGCCAGT